GCCCCAGGTCCCTCTTCAAGTTGCATGACTCTCCCCTTTGGCTCTGTGGAGCCGCGCGCGGCGCCAGCACATCGGCGGGACGTGTGGCCTGCGAAAAACTTGAACCGAATACTGTTCTACCTCCCCCCCTCTCTCTTTTATTCCACCTGCGACGAGAGTCTGTTGGTCGTTTGGTCCGCCCGTCCGTCTGTCCCTACATCCAGGTCCACTCTTCATGATTTTTACAGCTTTTTGCACAAAAAAAGTCATATTTCGCGGAATCGTCCGGCGGATGCATGCCTTTGAAGCAGCGCCCCTTCCCTCTGCCCCTCTCTCCTCCACGTCCTCGTCCTTTGCGCGCCGAAATCCCGTTTCAAAATGCGTCGCGCCACGAGACTGTCCTTTTTTTGCAGCCCCGACGACATGTTCGGACTGAATGTCAAACACGGCTCCGGCACAGGCGGTAAATCAGGGAGACGTTTTATGAAGTCACTCGTCACGGCGGCGCTGGGCACGGCAAAATAATGCGCGGAGTGCAGACAGTCGCGGGCTGAGTGCCTTCGGCGCAAAATACCTAGACACTGAAACAAAAACGTGTGCGGAGAGTCTTGACGGCACCCATCAAGGGTGTTGTAGCACCGGTATACAGTACAACGTTGGTAAACATGAACACTTTTTAAAGTTTTTTGTTGCCTGCAGTGTAATTTGTCGCGTTCCAACCTATTCTTAAAGTGATCGTAGGTCCATTTGCTTTTACATTGCATTGCTTGCTTATAGGCGATGTAGGGCGTATATACGCGGTGACTTCAAGAATGACAGAACCTCGAACAGAACCTTTGGGAGACTACATCATGTGATAGCCCATCTCAAAGATCAGTTTCCAGAGGTTGTATCGACTGGTTTAAAAGGGCGCAATGGCCCCCGGCGGCGCTGGGGAGCCGAAGGCATCCTCCTCATTTACCCAGTGGCGAAAGAACGCATTTCTGTTTCACCACTGAATCGCTTTACGCAGATATCCTCTCATTTTAATGAAAAAGAGATAAAGGATTGAAAGCGGCGCGGCGCGGCGCCGCGCCATCCATCAGGCCCGACTGGTTCCGCGCGCTGCAAAGTGGGGAAACAATTAATTTGCCTGGGCGCGGTGCGCCGCGGTGCCCCCCGCCCCGCGCCACACACGCTCGCAGTCACACGTTCGCGCAGATTTCTCATTTCAAACCAGAGGCGCAGCAGCGGGCTTAAACAAGCGCATTCTTAATGGCGCGCATCGCTCGAATTGTTTTTCCCTCCCTGGGTGAGTCCGGCCGGCCTGGCCGGGCTGGGCGCCGAGCGGATGCACATGCGTGCCCCGGCTTTATGAGACGGGTGGGGCCCCCGCCGGCCCGGCCCCGCCGTGGTGATTTTATCGGGGGCACCGAGGGGCAGGGCGGGCAGGGCATACCCGCCGCCAGCGGGGACCACCCAACAGCAGCAGCAGCCGACCCGGGGCGAGTGCGGGCGCGCAGCGCGAGCAACAACCTCTGGCGGGGGCTAGGGGGCCGGTAGGGTAGCCAGCCTTGGCGAGCACACTTCGACAGCCGTCCGCGGAACCCTTTTGTCGGCGAGGCCCGACATCCCACGGGCGGCCACCTCAGCACGGGTGTGAGTGAGCCCTCGGCCACCTGCACTGGCCGGCTGAGGGCAGCGGCGCGCAGGGCCGCGGGGCTGGACGCGGCCAGGGCACACGGGGGCCCACCGGGCGCACCGCGGGTACCAAAGGAGTTGCTGCCGAGCCGGACCGGGCCGAGCCGAGCCGGGCGCACCTTGGCTCTCCTGACGGCCGGTCGGTGGTGCGTACCTTGGCAACACCGCACGGCCCCTCTTTTCCCCTCCCCCCCTCCAGGACAGCCCGGCCCGGCGGGCCTAGGCCGCTCCAGCTGTGCGGTAAAGGGCACACTGGCCGGCCGCTGCCGCTGCTCCGAACTCCCGCCAGCGAGCTAACGTGTTGCGTATACCCACCTCATGTATAAGCAAAGACGTTTCCGTCCAAAACTTGGGACACGTCAGGCCGGCGACGACCCCCCC